GTTTTAAGCCCTGGTGTAATGTTGTTCTGTGCTGTGACCTGTTTCATTCCAGAAGTGGCTGCATTTCTTCATGGGTGGAGTAATTCTTACAGCGAGTACAGATTTAAATCGACTCCAGTCCCTGCAGAGCCTGTGAGCTTTTCTAGGGCAGACCTAAAGCAGAGTAAAGGAGACTCTTGCAGTACTCTGCAGGAGTATAACAGCCACGCATGCACACCTCCAAGAGATGCTCAGGAGCTAACCGGGAATCAGGACGGTATTTGCCCCACTACACATCGATGTTAGTGGGACTGCGGTCAGCCTTAGGCAGGTGTGCATGGGGAAGCTGCCGTCTAAGTCACTGTGTGCCAATTATGCAAGTACTGGAAATGTCTAGTGGCATCAGATATGCCAAAGGTAATAGGATGAGACACTGAAGTCAAGGGTGTTACTACAGATTTACACACATGTAAATGAAAGAAGCCACTGGCTTCCCGTCATGATACTGGGGACTGATTCGAAAAGTATATTGGGTAAACTTGGAAAGTCAAAGTGCTGGAAGCCAAAGCTCGGCGGACCCGATTCTCCTCTCGGCGACTGCAGTGTAAATCAGGAGCACCTCCCCTATTGTAAATCTAAGCTCTTTTTAGATGGGAACTGTTTTGTTACATGCTCAGGCCGAGCACAATGTAACAGCAAAACCAATAATAAATAGGAACAACAGTAAATCACAGAGGCTTAAGTGACACTAGCAGTAAATCCCAAATGCTGATTTAAAATGTCAATGCTTATTTTTTCTCCCTCCGTTTGTGTCACGATATTTTAATGAATTCATTTTTCAACCGCTGTGCCTAGTAAGAGGCAGGTTAATTTAAATCCAGGTTAATAAAATGAGAATAAAGTAGGGAAAACATTTTGTTTGTTTGAATTTCATTTGATTTGTTCTTTTGCAGCTATCAGGTTGGCTATAAAGAGTAAGCAACGTTTTGGAACAGAGGATATCCTATTTAATACTATCTCCCTCTACTTACCGTGCTGGGAACCTGAAAAAATGCAAATATACTGTATTACTTTTACAATGTGGCTTTAGTTTTAGGACAGACTTTTTTTTTTTTAACAACCTTCTCAGCCACAGTGGTTAAAAAAGCAAAATCAACAGGAGACTGGTCTACCATTAACCTTTAGTTATGGTATCATGAGCAGCTCTCCAGCCACTTACACATGATGACATAAGTGGCTAAGTGTTTCAGGAAGTCTGAAACACCGTGAAATTTTGTGTCTCAGAAATTGTCTCTCAGACTCAGAATTCAAAATGGACTAAGGATCTTTTCCCTCATTGCCTGGAAAGTTTTGTCCACAAACTCAATTAAGCACCATTTTCATGTTTTAAGCATCTATTAAGAATCCCCAAACTCTTAAGTTTACAAAAGCATTAATTACGTTCAGTTGAAGAAAGCACTCTGTAAAATCAGATGTCATAGTGTGTTTATACACATGCTCCGGGGTGGTGGGCTCCTAGAGCTGCTCTAATTAAAGTGCCTGGAGCGTTTCATGTATCAGCGTTCCCGTGCTTAAAAATGGCGATGGGGGTGCTTTAACTAAAGCTCATCAAATGAGCTATAGCTAAAGTGCCCTGCCACCATTTTTAAGCATGGGGACGCTATCCACGAGACACTGGAGTCTGCTGGAGCGCAGTAATTACCACACTCCAGCAAACTCGATTAACTGAGTCTGCTCTGATGTGCTGTAATTACAGTGCGTCAGATCAGCCTTCCTGCTCATGTATAGGCACCAATGGATTTTAGCTTACTGCTCTGTTGCATGCAAAATTGTGTGTTAAACAAAACCCAAGAGTTATTGTGACTTTCTTAGGGGCAAAACTGAGTTATGTTGCTTAGTTTCCTTATTAAAAAAAATAAATACTGGAGGAAAAAAAAATGCTCTCCAGAGACGATGAGAAAACAGGCAGGAAATGGGCATGTTACTGGCAGCCTGTGAGCGAGCATCCTTACAGTTAGCCAATGCACTTCAGCAGCATTCAAGTCCCACTCCTCTCCAAGCACAAATGGCCAGTTTGCTAAGCAGTCGTAGCAATGGTGCCGTTCTGGCTTTACACCTGTGTATCCGAAGCAGGGTATGGACAAATATTTGAGGCCAAATCCAGTTGTCTGTTCCCTGCAGGCAACTCCTTTTGTGTGAGCTACAGCCAGGCAGCCGAGAGCGAAATATGGCCAATTTGCTTCAGAGCTATTTGTACGCTCCTGCAATTGGTCAAATTGCATGCTATTATACCACTATCTACCTTGGGTACTTCCATAGCACGCACTGCACCTCCACATTGCATTTGCTGTAAAAATCAGAGCACCTCCCAATAATGCACTTGTCTTTACAACATCTCAGAGAGGGAGGAAAGTATTGATACTCCCATTTTATAAAATGAGGAACTGAGTCACAGAGAGGCATCTAAGTGCCTAAATGGGAGTGACGGGGCCTAAATGCTTTTGAGGATCTGGGCCTAACGATTAAGTGGCAGAGCAAGGAATTGCCTCCAGGTCTCCCTAGATGCTACAGAGTTTTCTTCTCACCCGCAGTAGTTATCCAGAGCTTCCTTGGAAACAGGAGCCCTTTGGACTGCGTCTGAGGGAAAGACGTGCGGATTGTGGACCGCCGCTGGAGCGAAGGATGACGTTTTAGAGATCTTTAGTAAAAATCCGTTCTTTTCCCTTATTTGTCTAGCCTGCAAAATTTAACATGCTGCATGAGGTTAATACAATGGCAAGATTGTATGCATACTGCATGAGGCTAATCCAGTGGCTAATAAAATAGCTTTTATTTACCCCCTCCCTTCCTCAGTTTCCCTTGAGTTTATTTTATATAATAAATAAAGGCCAGATTACAGTCATTGGGATTACTCAGATACCTAAAACTATGCATGCACCGAAGCACCTTACTAAACTGACCCTGAAATCTTTGTGCTTGAAGCACAAGCTGGGACGACTTTGGTCAGTTCACCTCTTCAACACCCAGCTACTTGCCCTTAAGCAACAAGAGCTACTATTCCTTAGGGCAGTGCCTGAAGTTTCCTCGGTCTTAATAGTGTAGGGCCGGCTTCTGCAACTTGTTCATGCAGAGTAGCCCCACTGATCGGTATCGACCAACTCAAGAAGTAAGAGCAGACTTATATTCCACATGACATTGCTACTCAAGAGCCTATACCTTTGATTCAGAGCCCATTAAAGTCGGTGGAAAGGATCAGGCTCCCTTGATTAGACTAGTGCCTTCACTTTTATGTGATGTGATTATACAGTGCAGTTTGTGCATTAAAACTGTCACCTGGATGATTGATCCCTGGAAAGAAGTTACATCACACTTCTTTCAAATGCTGTTTACCGAAAATAACTGCTTTCCCACCAGAAAATAATTCCTTCCTCCTATGCTAACAAACATAATTGAAGTACATAAACAAAACAGATGGGGAAATACATTTAAAAAGAACACAAAGTATTTTTCATAATTTGCCAGCATTGAGTTTTTTTCTGTCCATCACTCTTCTTCACGTAATATGCCCTTTGGAACTACATTTTATTTCCTTCCTTGTATTTATTACTCGATTGTGTATGCATATGTGTGCCCACACATACAAGTTTGTTATCACAGGACTGCACACAAATGCTCATCTCCTGCACTGATTTATTTACAGAGGCCCATTGAAGAATGACATTAACTCCATCCAAAGATACCACGTTCACAGAAAAAGGCCAGTCCTACGTGAATACTTTTATTGGCATCGCTGGGACTGTAAAGGGGAAAAGACAAGGTTTTTTTGAGTAAATGTGATATTGATATCTTTTATTAGACCAACTAAAGAGTTGGAAAAATTGTTCTTTGCAAGCTTTCAGGTACAAACACCCTTCTCTAGGCAGAAGGGTGTTTGTTCCTGAAAGCTTGCAAAGAACAGTTTTCCCAACTATTTTTTCGGTTTAATAAAAGATATCACGTTTGCCCAAAAAACCTTGCCTGCCTATGTCCTTAGACCAACACGACTACAACCAACACCCCCGACACATGGAGGAAAAGGCTATACTGTTGGCTATTCTACGTCCCTCTGCTTGTTATAGTGTTATTTGCTACCCCATTGCTAGCGGTTCCTTCAGGCATGCATTAGTTTGCACAAAGATGGAAAAGTGGACAAACATTTCTGATACTCCTTTACTCACTGAGACTTAAAGGAGCAATTCAGGTGTCAATTGCTTTGAGGTTTTATCTCCACAGTACTAAGATACACAGCTGGGTCCCTGACCTCCCAACAGAGGGTCATCAACTGGGGAATTAACAGACCGAACGTTGGAGGGGCTACAATCTTGAGTTCTTGAAGCATCGGAGGCAGACAGTCGAGAGCTGGGAGGTGCAGACAGACGTCCCGGTTGCTGAACGTTGGGTTATTTGTATAAATAAGTCGTTCTGAGCGTTAGGTAAGATAGACATGCATGTAGAATGTGTAAGACCTTTTTCTTGTTATGTCATTTCTCTGCTGTTAAGGTCAAACTATAATTTGATTTGAAAAGGCTGTTTTAAGTCAGTGTATCCAAGGACTGATCACGATGGCCAAAGGAATGTCTTAAAGGGCTCAAACACAGGAAATCCTACTGAGCCATCACAGCTACCACATGGGATGAATCAGTAGGCAGGAGGAGCTTCAGGTGGGAGAACTGCAGGATCCCACTCCAGAATAGGAGAAGGAAAAAGGCCTCAAGCGGCAACACTTGTATGGGGAGCAGAGGCACAGGTAGTCAGGCCTAATGATAAGGAAGAACATGGAGCAGTGCTAGAACTGAGGGTTTGCAGGGCTGGCCCTATCGTAAGTATTATTTTGGGCCTAATAAACTTTGCAGCGTCTCTCGAATTGGTAGCAACCACTATATTCTTACTTAGCTACAATATTATGAATGCCATATAGTTTATCCAGATGAGATAATAGCACTATAATTATGAAAGGACACAGAACAAATGAGTAAACTCACCCGTAATATTTCTTCCACACAGCTGGAGTCATTGGGAAGGCCAACCTAGATTTAAAAAAAAACCAAGAAGCAGCATTTAGTCAGGCAGACAATGTAACGTTTGGTGATTATTAGTAACTACGAACGAAACAGATCTGTTAAACCACACCTCACAGGCCATTTTACATTTTAATTTCAAATAGGCTGCATCCACTGATGATTATTAACAGAATTTCCCCGATTAACAGAATAAATCATTAGGAAGACCCATTTCTTCAAGATTATTTTTCTACTCTTTATGTTACAAATGGTACTTTGAAAAGATGATGGGACACTGATGTCTTCACAGATCAGATCTGGCATTGAGGTTGTTGGGTAAATGTTTGAAATGATGAAGATGCCACCATTTTCCACCATCCAGTTCTGTGAGAACACAAAGAATGCTTTAACTTACAGCATGCTGCCGTTTAGGGCAGAAGTGATAACAGTTTACTGTAAACTGTTATCATCAAGCATCTTATCCTACAGTTTAATACGCTAACAGCCCAGACAACTCTTAAAGCTTAAACATGTATTGTAGTAAAACACTGGTTAGATTATAAGAGAGGTTGCCGATTCTGTCGTCTCACTTCATTGGCCTGTTACAGGTTAAGTATCCTCTAAAGCCTGAAAAGCACATAGGCATCTATCTTGAGAGGTTTGAGAGATCTTCCATCTCTCTCAAAAAGATACAATACATCTACACACAGACCGGGTGCCCTTAAATCTATCCACTTAACAACACAGTTCTTTAAATATTACTCGTGCGTAATACGGCTAGCATGCAAACACACCACTCCTCGCTCTAAGCATAAGAAATAACACAAATACCTCAAATACCAGAAATTAATTGTACCACCTACACCTCTCAGGATCTTAGGAGTAATTACTCTGTGCTCTGTGTGTACACGCACATGTGCCCAATCTAGTTGTCCAATCTAGCTCTTGTATTCGGAGACAACAGGAATTTTACCACTTCTTCTGAAACACTAATCCATGTTTTGTTGAACTCCGGACACTTTTAGTAGGCTAAAATTTGCAAATGTTATTTTCGCCTACATACAGCTGCTTATCCTATCATTAATAATTCATGGACTTCCTTGTGTTCTTTACCTATTTGTATATTGGTATATTTTGACGATGTTACTCCTCCCGTTACTTCTCGTGTTTGTTGTACGTTGAACTCTTTCCTAATAAGTCATTCCCTCATCACGCGGCCGCTCTGTTCTGAACAGTTCCTCCAGTTTTTCGATATCTTGGTCAAGAAACACCCAAATGTGAACGGGATACATTCAGCTCTCAGTAACCCTGGTAGGAGTCCAGAGTAATTCTGCTTGCTTAATTTACTCCAGGATCTTGTCTGCATCTGTCCGGTTCTTAATTGACTTCAATTTCAATCCTGTTTCCCCCCCTTTTTTTTTTACATCATAATCTTAAAATTCCAGGACTTCCCACCGTTACACACCTCTCCTCTCCTCCTACTCCTCTTCCTTTCACTTGAACTAGGTTTTTATTTTCTTGCTCTCTTCTACAATCTGAGCTGATCTTTATTCTGTTTCTTTTTCCACGTACCATAAATGGCCTCTGAACTCCGGTACACAAAAGCCCTCTCTCCATTTAAACCCACCTGCCCAGCCCCAATTATGATTTGCATTGCACGGCACTGCGAGGTCTGAGCCGTGCCCCTCTACGGCTAGCCTTCAGGGGCGTGCGGTACTTCTCCGTGGTTTGACACAACCCTCCTAACACATAGCAATGTGTAAGCTGCCAATGCTTTGGCAATAATAATAAATGTGCAATGTTAGTTTAATAAAACCCACTAGATATTGTGTGATCTCAACCAGGGTCTGCGGGCAACACTTGCTAATAACTTTAAATGACCATGCATCCATTTAATTGTGTTAATGGCAAAGGAGGTTTTAATGACCTGACAGGACTTTTGTTCCCTTTGGCACTGCTTTGTTTTGAATTGTTGGTATTAAGGTAATACAAGATGTCAAAGTGCTGTGATTGTCATACAGAGAGACCCAAGCAGGAGCTGGCACAGAGTAGAAAACATTTAGATTAATGCAAAACATTAAAAGAATAATTATTACAACATGGATATCACAGAGAAGATCAATGTAAGCGTCTTTCAGTACATTACTATTAATGGATTTCTAAAGACAAGAGACCATTTTTCTAAATTCATACTGCTGCTCCACGTGCTAAGCGACTAGAAAAGCACAAATCTACCAGGAGCTTAGTCTGTCCTGAGCAAAAAAAGATCTTTCAACGTGTGAATCAGAAATTGCAAGGTAATTGTCCATAAACACTTGCACTCATCTAACAAGTGCGCCTAGCCCACCACGGCATGTTGCAGGATCCAAGCGAAGATTCATCAGGGTGGAGTGAAATACAGCAAGCGCCGTACTCAGAGCCTCCACCACCATCAGTGCGCTAACAAATTAGTGTTCGAAGCTGCATTAATAAACTGCCACATTCATCCAGGAGTTTAATCAAGACTGGATGTCCCATACGAAAAACTACTGCACTCCCAATCTAATAAAAATCAAATGGTTTGGGCTCTGCCAAGTGATTTTTTTTTCTTTCTTCCATAATCTTTAAAAAAAAAAAAAAGAAACGGCAAGCCTTTGGGCTCCGATTTGTAGACACTTTCCGAGCCATGCCAACTCTGTGAACAACATGCCCTGACTTAGCAGGACAGAGATCCCAGGAACTGTGTTTCAGTAAAGCCCGACTGTTCGCAGTTCCTACCCTGAGCTCGTTTCTCAGTCTGAAGTGTATTCATGAACTTCTGATTGAAGAACAGTTAATATTACATAAGCTGCAGACATAAGTCCTGAGGTAATGTAACTTCAATCAAAACAAAAAGATTTCACAACAGTTACATGGTACACTGAACTTCATTTTCCAATTTCATTTTAATCTGGCAAACCTCCTTTGCGTCAAAAGACTTTGTGTTTACTTTAAAAGATTGCTTCCAGCCAAAAAAAAAAAAAAAGAAGAAAGAAAGGTCAGATGGCCAAAATATTCCACTTTAAACAAACTAATACATAAGGGTCTCTCCACATTTCAGTCTCACAAGTGGAAGACAGCACCTAGACGATGTGGCCCCAAAGGGTTTAATGTTCACCTTGGATGGCAGAAGGTTAAACGGTGGGGGAACAGGATGCGAAGAGGGGAGGGAACCAGGAATCAAGGGGAAGGAGACTTAACGTTACGGGGATCAAATGACAGTGGGTGAACTGTTACAATCTCTGATGAGTAATGCTCGTCTAACCTGCCATTTATTCACTCATCAGTTCCTTGGCTCCACTCGACTTCAGAACAATTTATAACCTGCATGAGCTCAGACTGTGTTTGCGCTACATGGAAAAACCTCTGTAACGTGCCCGCTCCCAATCAACGACGTCAAATCACTGTTTATCGACGTGGGATTCTGGCAACTTTTTGGAATAAGACCAGCAACAACCTGAACCCCATTGCTGGGAGACCAGAAAGCACAGAGTCCTGCAAATTCACATGCAAGTTTGGTGACCACCATCACGCAGTGGATAATCTTTCTGCTGGGACTGAAGTATAGCACTGCCTTTTCATCAGGATCAGCTGCTCATAAACAATTCTCCTGTCTTTTGAATAACATCTAGCATTCAAAAACTAAATGGCTACAGTACCCCACTCTAGACACGTGTGCTTGAATACCTGCTGTACGTCAGCAGCTCCACTTCGGACACTTTATCTTTTATCAAGGAACCTATTCGGACTCCAGAGAGACGTAACTCATGTTGCTGTTTACTCTTTTGGGCACAAATTGATTTCTCACTTGCTGGCATGAGAAGATCTTTGCCTGGCCCTTGATTGATCAATTCTAGCATGCGCCGCAGGATGAGAAGAGGAAAAGTCTAACAAATCGGTAGTGACACGGGGACTGTAAAGGAAAAGCCGAAGTCGAAGAATGCCTTCAGTTCCTGCAACACCTCTTACAAATGGAGGGCACTTCTATGCCGATAAATATTGTGCTGGAAAGTGGGTCAGTCAGTACTAAGAACAGCACAGTTCCCAGACATGGTGGAGAGAAGAGGGTTTCATCTGGTAAGGAGGGGAATCCAACGCTAAGCGCACATCCAACCATATCCTTCCAAGGTGCCAGTATGATGGATTGGTTAACAAACAGCTTTCAGCCAAAAACACGCATCTGGTTATGTAGCAAGAAAATTACATAGCGATGAAGACAGATTGGCAGAAGTAGGGGTCATTACTGATAAATAGTACATTTCTTATGTCATGCCCTCCAGGCACAGTAGCATTTTGTTGTTTCTCTTTGTACTTTATCCAGTTTTACTGTATCTTTACTAAACTCAGAGGACCAGACACAGTATTCCAGCTGCAACGAAATGAAGACTATGTTCCTGTACAGAACTGAAAACATGCATAATATAATATAAAACATAACGCAACATAAATCTTGATTTCCTTCGTTCCATAATAGTACTGCATGGCAAGTTCACAGTTGCTTTCTCTCTACAGCTATCCCTAAGCCTCTTTCAGACTTATTTCTTTGGTAAAGGTAGTCTGTCCTTCAATTAGTGTCTGTATATATTTCTTCTCCTGACATGGATTGCTTTACATTTATGAATGGTGAATTTAATACTACTGCACAGAGGCCACTGTACTAATCATCCCAGGCTGCTTTACAATTTAGTCCTTCCATATATTTCCTTATGTCATTAACATTTTGGTCCGGAAAGGATCATTCCTGTTAAAGATGCCTGAAATAGATGCTAGGCTAAACTGAAGAGCTGGGCCTTTCCTGGCTTTCCCTTATTCTGTTTAGTGCAAACAGGTACAAATCGGTACAGCAAAAGAGCAAAAACTGAATAATGATGGTTAAAAGTTGTTTCCTTTTTGTATATCTGATCTCCGTGAGGTCAGCACCAATGTGTAACAGAACTGTGCATTTGGGGTCTGCGGCAACTGAATGGAGCCAACTATGGTGGTATTCTACTAAATCCACATAAAGCTGA